ATTCCATTACAAATTCTACGTCAGTGTCAGTGTGTTTTTTTTGCGTATTGGAAGAATTGATAAATTGCTGAAAAAAATTTATGTAAAAGATACGTAAAACTTGATGAAAATACTGGCGATTTTTGTTAAAAAACAATTAATTTTGAAAACGAAAAAAAGGAGGAAAAGATTAGTGTTCATCTTTTTTGGTTAGGTTAATTCCGCTGGCTGCTTTACGGTTAGATGTTTTGTAGGATTCAAGTTCTGTTTTTTAATGGAAATTTCTCTTTTCTATCGAGGTAAGAAACGAAATCTTGCCTCATAAAACGATTAAAATCCATTCTACCCCGCTTAATAAATGTATAAATTTCCTTCCTGAATTTCCTCCTGAATTTTTAATTTTCAGCAAATTTAAAAATACTATTAAATTTCTGTATAAAATCAAAATTCTCCTATTTTCTTTTCAAATCATACTTTCCACCCAAATTTTTGATGTCAAAAATTCTTTCTTCATGTGCTGGTTTGATTTTTTTATCTTTTCATCAACTGTATTTTTTTCTCCCTTCGAAGCGCTGATCTTCTAATTTTGACTTTGATTTTGACTCTGATGGATGAATTATATAATTTGTAACTTAAGAGTTTGAGAATGAGGATGTAACTGCAATTAAGTTGACTTGAAGAGTTTATCAGTTCACAAATATTGTACAAAAATCTATAAAAATATTGGAAAATTTCTGATTTTCTTCATTTCACCGCGATTTCTAAAGAGCTAATTATTAAAGCTTGGCATTATTGCTTGGTAGGATGGATGATTCATTAATACAACAAAATTGATGCAATATTTTTAATTTTTGATGAAACAATAGTTTTTTTTGATGAATTGACCAATATTTTTAAATTTATAAAATCTATGCATTACAAAGTGGAAAATAATTTAGAAATATTTGTTTTTTGTTTTTTAAGAAAAAATGCATAAAAAGAGTGAATATTTAGCGCTCACTCTTTCTGGTTAGGCAATATCTATTGGTTTTAGTTCGATTAGGATTTTTTGCCAGGGATGAGACGCAAGCAACCTAGATTTTTTAATGAATTCTTAATAATTTAAAGATTTACTCATGGCATGAAATCGAAATCGAATTCTGAAGCTGGGGCCTTACGAACCTTATGGACGCAAATCAATGCAACCATCTCCATTATAAAGAAGGATTTGTGAAAAAAGTAGAAATTTAATATTTAATTTTTAAGAATTTAAATTGAATGAAAAGAAGCGATTGTATATTGCATCTATTCGATTATTCGAATATGTCGAGATTTTACATATAGCTTGCGAAACTGGTTCCTAATGACATGTTCAGGTTTAAAACGCTGGAAAGCGCGATACAATGCGACATGTTAAATTAATAGCCAACAAAGTGGACATTGCTGACCGCCTAAGTTGATAGACCTGTCCTTTGTTACGATCAGAAATAGATAAACACATAAATGTTTGTGCATGCTTGGGATAGATAGTTTATAAACTGGACTTCAGTATTTGGCTTTTAGAAAAAACCAAACCATCATATGATAACACAGATAACAAATGTGGGCATATTTTGCCGATATATGTAGATCGTATGCATTATCATCAGCACAGAGCAATGGGTTCATATCCGTTAGTGAATCGAGTTCCATCCATTTCATATGCAAAATGAAAAGCTCAATTTTTACTCGTTAAGATCATATTTAAAATGTATCATGATTATGATACAGGTTTTATATATTCATCCAAGAATCTAGGAATTCGTATTCTTTTTTGGTTAGCTTCACTCATTAATGGGCTTAGATCCCTTCGCAAGAAAACCGCTTGAGAAAGGAGTTGCAAAAAGCCCTTCAGCGTACAGATTTCACTTTTAATGACTGACTTCACTTTTAAATTCATGAATGTAAAAAATTGTTTAAACTCGCCTGGAGCAACGTGACATTCGAAATATTCCCTTAAAAGCTCAATTATTCCTCTAGAGATAAAGAAATGTGCATATTGCTAATGAACCACTCGTTCTAGTTGTAAATAATTTCAATGGCAGAATACATATTATATAAAATAAATATATTTACTATATATAGGGCATATTATATAAAATATATCGAACATGGAAAAAAAATCATAAAAACATAAAAATATCTCAAACCACTATTCTTCTGATAATCAAGCAGAATTTGATGCCAGAACTGGTTGACCAACGAGCTGAGAAATATCTCAAAAAATTTAGGAAAAAATAGTAGTGACTTTTATAAATACAAAAAAGTGCGAAACGGAGAATTATAAATTAAATCAAGCTATTGCACTCATACTGACGATTTGTAAACAAGAAGCAAAAATTATCGAATGGCTACCATTTCTGGTGCATTATTACTTTCACTTAGAGTATCAACTGCAGCTAGAAACGTAAGCCTTTCTTCAGCAGGATCCAGATTTCTTACTAGTGCATTTCTCCTGCGAGGAAAACTAAATTTTGATTTCAGGAATGAATAATTTAGACAAAACACATTTGCCACATTAACACTATTAAGTCTGCAACCAACTTAAAAAAATATTTATTATTTCAAATTCAAACAAATTAAAATCTAATTTTTGTTGAGATAACGCTTTATTTCTAAATTTTATGTCGAAATTGACTTTTAATAGAAAAAAATTTTTCCTTCAAAGATAGGTCAAAATTGTTCGCATTTGTTAAAAAAAACTTTTTGAAGTGAACAAGCAAAATAGATTGGTTAAGGTCAAGCGTCCCGAGTAACCTTGACCAAATATATCAACATTGATCACGGTAAGATTTTGCAATCTCATTTTATTATCATCTCATAAGTACTCTGCTCTCATTTCTTTTTTCTTGAAAAAATAACATTTTTTGCAAAAATTTTTTTATCTTAAATCTTAATTGTATTTTGAGAACACAGATTTATTATGTGGAGTATATCTTATGATATAAATAAGAGAGTGGTTAACATTCACCATTTCTTTTTGGATTTGCTCCTCTAGCTGTTTTTACTTCACTCCATATTCCACATATTTCAAAAATATGCATTAAAAGAATCTGTTAATTTAAGGTGTTCCCACCATTGTCATATCAAAAACTGCGAAATAATATCATGCACTGTAGAGTTAAAATTCTGATAAAAACAGGAAACAAATAAAAAAATTTAGAATAATTTATGAAACTAAAGGAAATTTTAAAAAAGTCCAGTATAAGAGCTCCATAGGTAAATGAAAGGGCTGACTGATCTGTTGCTACGGCGACTCATTTTGCGAAAAAAATAGTGAGGTTCAAATTCTTCAATCGAGAATTGATTAACCCTTATGGATATCACCAGCTGATTGGGAAATATTTTCAATGAGAATGGATCTGAAAGATGAATACCACTTTTCCCCATTCAATTTTCAAAAATTCCAGTTTAAGAGTATATACATCCCGCTCAAATAAGATAGCTGTATAAAAAAACTTTTGAGGTAAATTATTCTGAAAATATTTTAAAACAACACAATTGACATAAAGGTTAAATGAATTTTGATACTTTATTGGAACAAATTATTAGTTTTTTTTTTACTGGAAGTGATTCGTTTTTATTTTCATTTTAATGAAATAAATTTCAAATATATGAAAGTAAAAATTTGGAATCATAAAGTAAATTAATAAAAGTGAAACAAAATTTATTCATGAAGAATGCACTGATGGATTTTCATGCAAAAAAGATTTTTGGTACCCTTTAAATATTTAATGATCAATTCTCTGAAATCATCCTTAGTTTTGGTGCCAAATGTTGTTGGTGAATTAAGCATATGCGGGTTTATTTCATCTTTTTTCTTGTTTTTTTAGTTAAATTGATTTTATTTCGTAAGCTTCATTTTTTATGACGTTTAAGGCTAAAATATCTCTTAGCATATTTTTAGCCATATTTTAAGCCAGTGAAGTAAACTGCATAAAATGGAGCGATCTTCTATAAACTGCTTTCGCCTCTTTTTGTCCGAACGAAATTTATATTCCACTACCATATTTGACTGTATAATTGACATAATATAATTTTTTAAAGAGTTATTTTAAAATTCTTTTGTTTAAACAGTGTCATTAATCTTGAATTCATTGTGGAATATATGATTTAATAAAATAAAGTTGAATTTCAAGCTATGGTGACCACTGCAATCATTAAGGTATTAAATTTTATGAAATAAATTTTATTAAATTAAATTTACCTTTCTAAAAAAAGAAGAAAATGAATTTTGCGGCAAAAATTTTGATTCTCGGTGGTTTTTTGACCTATCTGGTTTTTGTGCGTTATGTATCTTAATAATTTTTGGAATATTTTGCAGCGAAAATGCTTGCGAAATACTGAAATTTTTTCAAAATGGTTTCGCAATTAAATTTCAGTAGTAAAAATAAATTTCTCCTAAAAATTTCTCCTAAAAATTTCTTCTTTTTTCTTTTTTAAAGGCAGTTCTTTTAAAATACTACGTATCCCTCATTAGCGCACTGATTAATGCGAAGTCCTTCCAAAAAGCCACTTAGGAGCAGACATATGGAGGGATTTGTTTGCAAATTTTATTTTTAGTGGTTGGCTTGATCCTATTATAAAACTGAAATCTTTGCTTCAGTTCTAGTAGTATTCTTCTCGATTACATGGCTAATATCCTAATCCATGGCTAATATTTGAGAAACTAGTTAATTGATTTGTTTAGTATGAGTAGAAAAATTTGAATTTCAAAAATCTGTTTGCAGTGAAATAAAAGATACGTTCTTTTATAATTTCATCTAATTATTATTATTATTGTTTTGTAATTATACAGTTATTGTGACGATCTAAAAATTTAGCCATAGTTTTATTTTCGTGATTGTGTTATGTTGGAATGTCTTCTTTGATTTTAAACACAGATGATAGATCATTAAGCATTATATTCAACTCTTATTATCTCAAAAAGTAATCCGGACGATAGATAAGTAATTAGCGAACACACTTTCAAAAGGAGAAATTTGGCGATGGCTTTCTTCAGTTTGATCATCTACGGTATATTGAGCCTGGTGATCTATTTATTGTACAAAATACTGATACGACCACTGAATCGAATCCGCAGATTTGGTGATGTTGGTATTCATTTTGGAAAGTCAAAGGTTAATTAATAAACAGTAGACCATTTTTCTTCAAAATACCTGAAGTTTTTTTGTCATCAATATTTCAAATGAAAATTTTTGATTTTTTTTCACTGAAATTGTTGCATTATTTTTATCGCTAAAAATTTCGAATAAATGTCTATTTAGATAGATGATCGACATAAAATGGAATATTTAGAGCGAATACGTCGAATTCGACGAGTAGGTAATATTCCACCCGTATATCCGAATGGATGGTTCTGCATTGCTCAATCTTCAGAAATAAAACCAAAGGAAGTAAAACCAGTCGAAGTTTTTGGTCAGATGTTACTCGATATTTAATGGATTAAAATATATAATATCTATATCTATAATATCCGGCATTTTTTGAAACTCAGAGATCCTGTTAACAGGAATAAATTTGTTGTTGAAAAATCTAGTTAGTGTTTGCATTATTTATACTCTCTAACGAAAATTCTCAACGTGCTAATAGCCGATGACCGATAGTCTAACTGAAAATATTGAGATATTTTATAGTGAATACCTTGTATGCTTATTTAATTATTTTCACTACAGTTATAAGATGGTTTTAAGAGATTTAAGATGGAGATTTCATCCTCTGTACTTACTCGATATTTATTTCTAAATGTTTCATTTTTACATATTCCTTTTCGATTCTTTTATTGAAACAATCATAACGAGCACAATACGTCAACATTTGTGTATAAATTTTAAATTTTTTTCAATAACATTTCTCAAAGCATGATTTCTATATAAGTTTTAAATTTTCTAGCATAATGCTTTCAGGTGAACAGCTCACTTTGCTAAGATCGGAATCTGGTGAAGTATATCTAGTTGATTCATATTGTCCTCATTTGGGTGCAAATCTGAGCATTGGTGGAAGGGTTGTTAATGAGAACTGTATCCAAGTATTTATCTTTTTTTGTACCGTTCAGCGAAAATGCTTAAAGGTTTTTTAATATTTTAAAAAATTTTCATCTCAGAAAATTTATGACAACGATCGTCATCTAATTTATCATAGATGTATAACGGTGTAATAAACAGGAATGTGAGGCAAATTTTCGGAAACTTCATTTTAGTGTCCTTTTCATGGATGGATCTTTAGCGGTGAAACCGGAAAATGCGTCAGTATTCCATACAATAAGCAATCAATTCCAGAACAAGCAAAAATAGCCATTTGGCCAACCACTGAAAGAAATCACCATATATATGTTTGGTATATCTAATTTTCTACGGTTCTTAAAAATATTATTCGCATAAATGTCCACCATAAACCTGTCATAAACCACAAAATATAGGTACCACTGTGATGGACTGGAGCCCTGTTGGGAGGTAGAACCAATCGAAGAAGTTGAGAATGGTAACTGGACTTATAATGGGAAAACTGAACATGAAATATGTTGCCACATTGAAGACATACCTGAAAATGGATCGGATATTGCGCATCTAAACTTTTTGCATTTGTCTGCGGGGCTTCATGGTAAGCACTTCAGCAGAAAAAGAACTTTTAGTCATTTAAAATTTGAATCATAAATAAAAATTATTTAAAGAATCTTTTTTCTCATTATTTATATTGATATTATTATCATTTTCATATTAAATAATCAAGGTAATGATATAACGAAGATTGAAATGGACAACCAGGAACCGTTGATGAAACACATTTGGGATGGTAATTGGGAGCAACAACCAGCACCGAACCAACATATTGGTGTCATGAGTTTAAGCGTAATTTTATCTTTTGCGAAAATCCCAATTTCATGCACTGAAACCAAGCTCAAAGCAAGGCAGGTAAAACTATGGATTTATCCGCATTTAATGTACGAAATACTGAAAAAAATCATTTTCTCTCAGTTCTTCATTGTCTACATAATTCTGATACCATTCTTGATAGATAATAATGGCTTAAACTTCATCCAATTATTTCCATTAAGAAGAGATTTCCAGAAACTTTGGAGAAAACAAACTGATTAGGACTAAAGTTGTAGCATAGGCATAACTTCTTTCTACGAACGGAAAATTTGAATAGAACTGTATTACTATTAGAAATTGCTAAAATCAACTGGAATTTTAGATTGGTCCAGGAATTGTGTACATGACATTCGATTTTGGAAAATTTGGTCGAGGCGTCCTTCTACACCATGTCACACCTGTGGAGCCTCTACTCCAAAAAACACGTTTCGTTATGTATTCAACAATGCCAAAAATAATCGCAAATATATTTTTAATCTTCGAAACGACTCAAGTAAGTCGACATTAACTATCCATTCGGATTAGTTTTAACCATATCAGAATTTATTGAACTTTTCTTGAAAAAAACTTTTTCTCAACTGATGATAAAATTCTGTACCTGTTTGTCAACGTTTATTATAAATATTGTGGATAGAATTTTGAAGAAAAAACGATTACTTTTCAGTTCGAGCGTGACATATACATTTGGAACAATAAATGTTATATAAAACCAGCTTTAATCGTCAAAAATGATGGTCCAATTCACAAGCACAGAAGATGGTTTAGTCAGTTTTATTCAGAAAATAGTCCAAAATTGAACAATAACGGTACTGTCACTAGTAAACCAAAGTCAATTTATGACTGGTAAATTTGATTTTTGCTCATGGTTTCAATGCAGCGTTATAAAATAATCGCACGTCAATTTATTCTGAAGATATAAGATTTTATAAACTTTAAAAAATTTATAGAAATAGACAAAAATCGAAGCATTTTTACAAAGAAATGAATTGTTATATCTTTTTTTTATTGCATAACCGACAACTTACTGGATGAAATTGGCTTTATCTACTGAATTGATAGCGAATAAAGTATAGAAAAATAAAATTTAATTTTTAAAGATGGAAAGACCGCTAAAACACGCTATTGTGTCGTTTCTTTTGAAAAGGCAATGATAATTTTACGTTAACATTTTCTATCAATAATGATAATCGCTATTTATTACTATTCAAACGCAAAGAAAAATTTTTTTCCCATTTTCATTCGCTAATTTTGCGCCAGAAAAGAAAGAAATTGGAAAATTTAAAGGAATGGAAAAAGGAATGAAAGCCACAAAACGATAACGATTAAATGAATAGACAGACGAAATCAGGTCGACCGAAAAGATCAGATAAATATTTATAATTGAAAAATCGCGAATAAATATTTCCCATATTTGACCAACAAATATTTTTCGTGCTTTGAATAAGAAAAACGCTGAAGAATTAGGTCATTTTATATCAGATTTTTCTTGAACGTGTTCATCAGCCAGTTCGTGGCTTCATAAATTTGCTTCTTATCCCTCAGTGAGAGAAGGTTTGTTGGAAATTTACTTGCACCTCGCAGGTGATTCTTTGGCGAAAATGTACGTTTCCTTTCTTATTTCATATTTACTATAAAAAAATAATCTTCTTCTTCTAACAACTCTCACAATTGCTAGTTAGGCTGGTTTTGCTGACTAAAAGAGTAAGACTTCAAGCTATTCGATCCGGCGCTATTGTTGACAATAATAGAAGCCATTCCTTTTTGCATCGTCGAAGTCCGCTGGTCCGCCTATACGTTCAAAAATTCTATCAGTCCAGGTTTTCATTGGACCACCTCGTTTTCGACAAAATCCGTCATAAGGTTTAGAAAGTCAGCTCCGGTTGTGGGCAACGAAGAACCTAACCAGCGAAGACGGAATTCTGTAATGGTAATGACAAAGGAAGTGATATTTGAGCGAGAATGAGTGCAATCATGCGATTTTATCAGCACGGCGAATTGGGTGAATATCTGGTTAGCACAACGCGTCCCAGAGAAGAGTTCTGTTTGGTTAAGGCACACTCTGTGTCATACTACCATAAGTCTATTCAGCAGGAGGGAAGCAAAAATTTTCTCTGAGATGTTTAAAAGGTTGGTTCCTCGATAATTATCACACTATCCTGTCATCTTTCTTAGGAATTGGAATTGAATTACTTTACTTCCGTCATTTTGGTATTATTTCATTTTTCTAAACGAGAAAGTACATTTGTTGAAGGTATGATATGAAGAACGATGGACAACATTTCGGGCCGAATACCATCTTCTCCAGGAGTTTTATTGGCCCTAAGTTTCAAAGATTATTTGACCTTTTGGCGGTTACCAGTTGCAAATGCATGGTTTGATGGGCGAATCAACTATTTTCGGAGCAATAGATGACATAGTGGTTAAGTTTGGTCTCAAAGAATCTTACAACCCTTCCATCGTACGATTCTTAATAGCCTTACCAGGCACCCTATCACATACCATCACATTTACTATTACATACCATTTTACTTTCTCCCGAGTCATAGTTGCTTTATGAAGAAAGCTTAATGAATATTTCCCATTACCGCCTAATTGAGCCACCAGTCTCCATTCTCAAGGCCATATCGCTCTATTTCTGTTCAGCCGTGCTACAGTTGTAATTCTTTGAAACATCCGCATAATCAAGATCTCGTGCTTTAACAGCCTTTTCAGACTGCTGGAAGTTGCTTCCGATGCCTAGCGTGGAAATGGCTGGCTTTTGGAGAAATTCCTTTAGTTGGGACCAGTATTTATCTGCTGTTCCAGAAATGTCACTGATTCAATAATTTGGTCTGAAATACATTTACTATCCCCGAATTTTCGTATTTCAGTTTGAGATAGTTGAAAGATCTTGAGATACATTGTTCCTTACAACTTGTCAGTTTTATGCAAAGGAACCGTAATATGGTCTGATCCATAATGGCTGCATCGTGAGCTGCGAATGCATTCCAGTCTCCTCCGATTATGGCCATGTCACTTAGAATTTATCCTTAACGCGGTCGGCTGCATTTAAGGTTGCATATATGATGGCCTGACCAAAATATTAAAAATTTTCCTTTGAAGGAAAATTTTCAGTTCCAGTCTCTGAGCATAGGCCAAGCAGGTCACGTCATTTATCTTCTTCCGTCATCTCAATCAGAGCGGACCGAGATATGACGCTCGCTATGCTATTTCCCCACGAGTTGTCTGAAATGATATAACCAGTACCTCTGCTTGGAGCCAGGTCCAGTAATTGCAAGAGGAAGATGGACCTCAGATAAGCAGGCATCCATACGATACGTCCATAAGAGTTCTGACATTCCATGCTTCTACGGCTAAACACCTCGCCGCGCGTTCAAAGAGCCGTTTCCCTTGGCAAATTTCGAGCAGTTATCCTGGCTCACGAGCAGATCATATTATTAAGCCTTGAGGTTAATATCCGGATGGGAAACTTATCGCATGTATCAGAATTGAGAATATCATGGGCGTCAGACGCCCTGCCAAGAGGACCTGATCCTTTCACCATACAGTCAACATATATAAGCATAATTTTATAATTTATATAATTTAATTGATTTAAAATTAAAATTTATTTAAAATTTATTATTTAATTTATTTTAATTTTTGTTTGAAAAAAATTAAAAGTTTATTAAAATTAAAAAAAGTGAACCTAGCTGATTTTTTATCAGAAATCGAAAAAATAATTCACAAATAAGACATTTCTTCTTGAAGGGTCACCATTACTAGCTAAGTCCGTTTCGCTGGCTCCCTGAACAAATATTCCAAATAATGCATTGAAACCGATAAATTTTCTTGAAATAACCGCTCGCAAATTTAATTTAATAGTTTTTTTTTTAAAGAATAATCTTATCAATACTTGTTTATTTGATTTGTATAAGTCGTCGGTGGTTAGTTTTATAAATTCAGTGCATATTTGTCTGCAACAATGGTGCAGTTCACTGGAAGAAAAAACTGCGAAAAGTTGCATTGTTAATTAACCATCAAAAAAAATTCTTAAAAAAACTTTAATAACGCCTAGCGTAGATAATGGATTTAAAGTGAGCACAAATTTAAATAAAATGCCTAGATCTCAGAAATAATGGAAAAAAATAACTCAGCAATAAATAATTAACGGATTATTCCATGCGTTTCTTGTTTATAATCGATAGATGAATGGCAAAAAATATGAGAATAAATAAGAATGAAGAGATTTTTGGAATATTTAACAGAGAATATGTCATTGAAAATCAAATGAGGCTGGCAACCCGATTCTCTATGGCCAAGTTTTTTCATCCTACTAATAGCCAGTGGAGCAAGGAAAATTTAAAAGTACTATCCGATTTGGAAACGAATTTCTTTAGAAAATAAGCATCTTTGTTCGACCGGCGGTAGTGAAATCACCTTATCACGAATACCCTGGTTTGATTGGTTATTAGGTTAAAACACTTTCGCCAGCGGATTATTTGCAATTGGAAGTACAGTTCGAATTTTTTTATTTCTGCGAATGCCAGGGAACCATGATGGGAACCAGTTTTATAATAATAATAATAAATAACATTCTAACAATCCAAGGTCTTCCAACCTTTTCCTTGTGTTGACTGAATACAAAAGAAATATTTTTCTCATTCACCTCTTTCATGAAACGGCAAAAGCAAAGGTTTTGAACCAGCAATATCAACAGTTAGAGTTTTTATGTTATCTGAAGATTTGTATACTACGAACTGATAAAAACTAAGTTTTTGAGATGGAATGGTAACTACAGAAATCTTTTGAAATGTTAAAAATTTATGGGATTTTCATGCAAGAAAATTTATGGGATTTTCAATTTTTTATCTACATATAATTTTATATAATTTTTATATAAATTTTATTTATGAATGAAAATTTTCCGGCGCTCATCTACTTGTTTCACTTTGGCCATAAACTTTATTTACGTGGCACAATAAATATTTTTTAAATAACGCAATTTTTAAAAAGTACAAAAATTATGACGGCAACATTAATACTTATGTATAGTTGTATAATGTATAGTTTTGCCCGATGTGTTGCAGCAATATTTTAAAATCTGGCTTAGTTTAAAGTTATTCAGTTCTTAAATGTTCTGATATATTTAAACATTTTTTACTTTCCTAACAAATGATTTGCATGGCCAAAATCCGCTTCGAGTGTATCGGAGCTAGAAAAAGCTAAAACTATTGGTTCAGTGAAAAATTTGAAGTACATATGCGAATTCGCACTACATTTTCAATAGTTCAATAATTCGTGTGAAGTCTTTGAAAAAGTACTACAACAAATATTTGACTTCTTCAACGACCCCTATTGAGCCTTAGAATTCCTGTCAATTCCCATTCGAAGTCCATCGACCTTGAAGTTTCGCTGATTTCACCTAGGAATCTCTGTTCTACATCATTCAGGCAAATATTATGATTTGCATATATTGCATTATATTGCATATATTCGCATGCCTAAGGGCATGCGAAAGACGAATTTCCATCTCGAATGGCTGCAGCTAGAGATGCTTTTTTTCTTCTGGCTTTCCCCTTGTAATCGCTTTAAAATCAGCCTTAAAACGAAGGTTCACATCTATTTGTAGTACGTGCGATACTATACTGCTGCGAAACTTGACCAGTGAAAATTGAAGATGTCAGGATGCCTTTGACCATTCTTACCTAAGATATGTCCTTCCTACTCACCAATCGAACCCACATGATTGCATCTACCTTTGATAAAATACCATTTGCATTACAAATATTACCACAAAAATTTACCTGCGCTGATTTGACCAAATTCTTCGTCGCTCACCACAGGAATTAATGCTACTTACTAAAC